AAAAAAAAAAAAAAAAAAAAAAAAAAAAAAAAAAAACACATCATAGTAAAACCAATACCTTCTCAGCTTCGCATCGAAGCTAAAATATACAACTACACATTAAAAGTAATTTTTGTAAATATAATTATAATTAATTAATACGACAATTAAACATTATTCGATTAACAGACAATACAACCGATCACTTAACGCTCCGGCCCAGCACGGCGGAGGGTCAAGCACACACTGACTTATTTATCGATAGGCCGTATCGCCTTCATGACAATTACAGAATACTACACAATTCAAATAAAATTTTTAATTTTTTATCATAATGTTTATTAATACAAAAAAAATAAACTAAAGAAGTTAACTTCGTCTAAAAAGTTATTAAGTTTGAGATAGTTATAATATATCTAACCATCGATTACCAAAGATAATATCTTCAGTTATTCAAAAAAATATTCTTATTAGTTTACATACTTTTCAAAACATTAGAACAATTTTAATATAAAAAAATATCGAGATTTGAGGAATTCAAAAATTAACATTGTTTGGGGAATGTTTTAATTATAAGAAAAGCAAAAAGGGATTTCTTCGAGTTTTGTCGAAGATAACATTAATTATATCTAATTTGTGATCTTTTGATTATCATTAATCTACATAGGATCAATAAAACCTGATAATTTTGGTCCACAGACACGAAAAAAATACGTTAGTACTTTTTTTTATAAAATTTTTTTTTTCTAATTAAAGTATATTACATAAGCTTCAATTAAAAATATACAGAGTGGCCCACCACTCACTGAAAACTTAAATAACTTTTGATCCAGTTAATATTTTTAGCTGATTTTTTTTTAAAATAATAGTTATACGTTAGTTCTATAGCTATATCTCAATAATTAATTTTTTTACATTTTATTAAAAATATTAATTATTTTTAAATTTTAAATAAAAAGTCAAAAAAAAATCTAAGATAGCTATTTTGTAAAGTAGAATTTAAGAAAAATTTTAGTAAAAAAATATCTTATTAATATTGAGTAGTAAATATTCTGTAGCGTTTTGAAGTTTGTGAAAATTTGAATTTTCATGTATTATTTTACGGTATTAAACATTGAAATACGTATTGAGAAAAGGACAGAAGAAAACGCTATCTATTCAATATACTTTTGAATGAGAGTGATAAGTAATAATTGCCTTATCTAATTTCTTATCATGGTATTAATGCTAAGTTTGTAATGTATACTCCTTATCATCATATGTATACACAATAATCATGAAAAGATAACGTTTTCTTCTGTCCTTTTCTCAATACGTATTTCAATGTTTAATACCGTAAAATAATACATGAAAATTCAAATTTTCACAAACTTCAAAACGCTACAGAATANTAAATTTTCATAAACTTCAAAACGCTACAGAATATTTACTACTCAATATTAATAAGATATTTTTTTACTAAAATTTTTCTTAAATTCTACTCTACAAAATAGCTATCTTAGATTTTTTTTNTTAAATTTTTAAACTCTACAAAATAGCAATCTTAGATTTTTTTTTACTTTTTATTTAAAATTTAAAAATAATTAATATTTTTAATAAAATGTAAAAAAATTAATTATTGAGATATAGCTATAGACCTAACGTATAACTATTATTTAAAAAAAAAATCAACTAAAAATATTAACTGGATCAAAAGTTATTTAAGTTGTCAGTGAGTGGTGGGCCACCCTGTATATATTATAAATCAAATATATAGACGTATTCAGCAAATTGCTTATAAATGTTTCCTTAAAATTGTTAACTGTACAATTATCATCCATAAAATCTAAATACACCATGGTATTTATCGTCAAAAATATATAAGAATGTATTGTATCAATTAATACAATTTCATGAAAATAAAACAATACTGTAAAAGTATAAAAAAAACAAATTTTTGAGATTTATTGTATTAAAGGTATTTTATCTTTAACTTAAGCTGAGAAGGTATCAATTTTACTATGATACTATGTTTTTTTCGCTTTATAATCACTTAAAATTCAAAGAGTTAATATATTTAAAATCCTTGCATAAATAACTATTGGTTTGTTATAGTTTTATAATTGTAAATTTTACTAAAAAAATAAACCGTAGCAAAGTGTAAACGTGGCATAATTAGGACGAGTATAATGACATCCAACAATGATTAAAATAACTAATTGACCAAATTTGGAGTCTTTGGAGATTTGATCAATTGGCCATCATAGAAGTTCTATCGAGGTTTCAGAATCTGAGGGTTTAAAAGAATAATCGTAATAATTGTGTCATTGTAATTTTTTTTGAGATATTACATGCGAACAACTATAAGACAATCCACTTAAAGTCAATGACAGACAGTAATTTTATTATATATATAAATTAATAGAAATTCAATATATTGATACATTAACACTAAAAAAAAAGTTGTAAAAACATCACACAGCCATCAGCCAACTACACTGCAATTTGACGTTGGATCGACTGCCGGACGCTTCTCAATCAATTCACCTTTTAAGTATGGAATGTCACCTCCGCTGGTCTTGATTTCCGTTGGGCACTCGCGTAGTAGTACGCAACGGATGAAAGAAACTGTTGGTTGTCGCCTAAACAGGCCGATACAAACCAATCAACAACAGAACAAAAAGAAAACACGCCTGCTCACTGGCCACGAGTCATCAGACCCAATGGTTCGGTATAACGTCATCCGTCTACACAAACATAATGTCAACTAGGTGTCGGTAGTGCCAGACACGACTATTATGATTGTAGCGAGAAAAGTAATGGGCGATTTTAAGCTACGTGGAGCTTGACCGAGCTGCACACGTAACTTTTGAACATTCATATTTAAACATTGTTTAATTATGAAACTAAAAAATCCAATCAAAGAGATGTAAAAAATATAATCAATTGAGAGTATTATAAAAATTGATTATAATTTTAGAAATCCATTGTTAAATTCGGGAAAAGCCCAATTCGTTATTTTAGAAATTTAGTTTTAGTTTTAATTATTAAAGAGGTGGACATAATGCCCATGCACTCAGACCTGTTGGTCCATTGTGCGCACCTCATACTGAATTGTCTTGATTCGGTTTACCCACCTAAGAGTAATCACCAAAGTGTTAATACATTACATTTTAGAAATTACATACACATTAAAATATAACCAAAAAATATGGAATTTTATAGACTGGTAGTAGGCTATACATATAGTCAAGAAATTAATAAATAACAAATTCAAATTATTTAAAAATCATAATGATAAAATAATTACCTTCTCAGCTTCGTATCAAATATTATAAAATATTACTTATAATAAATAAAGTAAATTACTAATTAAATATGTTTAAAAATATAATTGAAATAAGCAAACATAGTTTTATTTGGTAAAATCGTTGTTTCACCTTAATAATACAATGAAAAATNTAAAATCGTTGTTTCACCTGAATAATACAATGAAAAATAAACATAATAAAATCAAAACTAACAATAATTATTTATGAGTACAATAAAAAAATGATCAAGCAATCAAATAATTCGTTCCAGTAAAAAAATATAATTGAATTAAATCAATTATACTTTTTTATTGTTAAAATTAACAATAAAAACAACTGTTTACTGTATATTTTTTTAGTGAATTCAATTTTGATTATTGCTCTTACTCTCAAACGCCGTCCTATTTAAAAATGACTTGATAAACTTACTAGTGATCAATAATGTATAATAAAATATACCTTTATTAAAAATGAAACACGTTATAACCAACAAAAGAGATATCAAATGCCAATTCTAGAATTAAGTAAAATATTTTTTTAGATTTTAATGAAATATAAAGTAATGTTAAGTATATTACTCACCTCCATTTTTATTCTAAGTGTAATACTCTGAATAACTAATGAGAATATTTGAGTTAAATTTATGTATATATTTAAAAATTAATGATATCATCTATAATTTTTTTCATTATTTTCTCTAAAAAAAAACATTGAGTAAACAGAAGTAAATTTTAATAAAGTATATACAAGGTAATTCTGATAATTTAGCAAATTTAATAACTTTATATTTAAGTTTTGTTTAACTATTATTTTTATGATTAATGTTACTTTGTAACATGAAATATTTGCTGATGAAATAGTTTTTTTTTTTTAAACATTGTAAAAAAAGCTGGCCTAATTGCAATTGTTAAAACACATTCTTGATTTTATTACACCAAAATAATATTTATTGTTAAACTTCAAGGTTCGTTAACATATACAAGAAAAATTTCCGAGACAATTTATTTTTATTTTTAACTTTTAGTATGTAACATAAACTTTAATTTAATATATTTTCGGAAAAGTGTAGTAATTCTAGAAAATGTTCAAATTTCAAGTTGAAAATGTAAACCTTTCATGCAAAGTAGTTTTTTCGAATACCCTTCTGTGCGCAGATAAAGGGACAGCTTTTAAGAAAATAAATACACAATAAAAAGGAAATACTTAAAATACATATTATAAAATTATTCTGACTCATGAGTTTTTCAAAATATTATAACTTTTTAAAGAAAAAAAGTTTTAAAAAAACACAGCACAGAGAATCATTATTGTTAAAAAAAAACCCAGCACAGGGGGGTCGCGGCACAGTGGTGACGTGGTATAGTTGGATCAAGTATAATGATATCTGACAGTGATTAAAATCAATATAAAAAAAACACTTCGATGCAAATCTTTTGATAGTGTTTAATTTTAAAAAATTGATGGATTATTCCAAAAGCTACATCATCTGCTATTTCCTTATTAATATCCTGATTAACATAAAGTATGTCGAATGAAAAAGGGATATAATATTATTTCTCATAAAAAAATTATATTGATTCATACATTTTTTAAAAAGTTTTTTGTAAAACTTGTCATTATTAATCCCTTTATATGGTCAAATAAAGGATAAGATTTATAAAAAAAATACCAAAAGATAGGTAAAGACTTCATGTATCTAAACAAAAAAAAATTTTATTGAGCTGGCCATTTTTAAAAAAGTTATGGGAGTTTTAAGTAAAAAAAACAGTAAAACAGTGGGGTCGTAACACAATGCGGACGAGGCATAGATGGGGCAATTATAGATGATATCTAACAGTGATTAAAATCACTATCATTAGAAACGCTTCGATGCAAATCTGTAGATAGTGTTTAATTTTAAAATTTTAATGGATCATTACAAAAGCTACATGATCTCCTACTTCCTTATTTATATCCTAAATACAAGTTATATGCATTACTAGTGCAAAGTATGTAATCAATGGAGGAATTCTCCACTATAAAGTTATTTGACAAATGTATCAAACAAAATTTTTTTCCATTTTCTTATTCATTTTCCCATTCTAAATTTTGATAGAATATATCTTCAACAAAAATACAATTTTCTTAATCTTCAATCTTTATTTCTATTGAATTTGTACGCCATTGACCTTTGCAATGTTCACATATAATAGAAAACATTTAAGCCCTGTTTTTCGGCAACCACAATTTTTACCAGCTCCAGCACCTGAATAAAGGCCGTTTTATGACAATTATCTTTATTATTAGCAGAAATTCCCGTGGCTATTGACATAATATAATTGTTGTTTGGGAATGTACAATTTAGCGTTTAGTTGGGTTTAAACAATATAGCGTCAAATCAATTACCTACTCTATCGGTTGTATCTTAATATACACTACACTTTAATGATAATATAAATAAATAAACTCACACATACACACATATGCATTTATAAAATTGTGTTTAATGTAAGTATAACATGATAAAAAGTAACCATAAAAATGAAAAAAATTGAAAAATAAATTTTAGTACTCATATTAAATGTAATGTAACTCGAAAAATATTTGTTTAAATGAAAAAATTAAGATACTTTTTTTGTTTAAAATTGTATTTTAAATAACTTTTGTACGAAACTTTTTTTTGTAAGTTAAATATTTTTTGAGAAAATTAAAAAAGCTCATATTTTTTAACTTTTGCGAGTCTGTAAAAAAAAAAGCTCAAGTCCAATCGATGAGGACTTTNTCTGTAAAAAAAAAAAGTTCAAGTCAAATCGATGAGGACTTTTAGTATGTCATTATACATATCTTAAATCAACTTAAAAAAAAAAAAAAATTGGTTGGGAATTTTTTCCGCCATTTTTCCTTTGTTGACTGGCCTATTAGCTAAGATAATTTAGAACACACACATATACTTATATATACAAATAGACAAAAAAAGTAAGCAGATATTTTTTGTCACGTTACATGTTTATAGATATTTGTCATTTGAATTTAAATCAGACGCTTTTGTAAAAATTATGACTATCTGCCATCTCATATGCGTTGGCGAATGTAGAATGCGATCCGCATGACCACCAGTGAAGACGATTATTTCATCAATTGCAAAAATAATTAAATAACAACTTTATTTAAACTTTAAACACAGTAATAATTTATAACAGTGGTAGGGATACGAGTAAAAATTCAAGCAAAATATATATAACATGTAATGTTGCAGAATTTATACAAGTTTTTTTTATATATTTAAATCTTATCAATTAGATGTGTGTGCAGAAGGTGTAAAGTATTTTCATAATTTTGTATATGATAACCTCCACTTGTCAACCGGTCCGATATCTGTCATCATCAGCTGACCGTACACTGTGCACCTGTACCAATATTGTTATGTCCCCTCAATGAACGTGTTCAAAGTTGGCACCACCACCACCCGGCGTCACGATCACCGGCCACTACACAAATGCCGCTAAAATGATTTTTTTTTCCACCTATACTGCCGAGGCGACAAGTTGTCCGTTGGTATTTTTTGTGAAAACCACGTTTTTTGTATTTTTTTTTTGTCCTCCGTTTTTTTTTTATACAAAATAAAACGTTGAGTCGACCGGCCGTCAACCAGGCTGTTCATTGTATTTTTTTTTGTCCTCCGTTTTTTTTTATCAAAATAAAACGTCGAGTGGATCTGCTGTCCACCAAGTGGTGCNCGTCGATTTGTGGTGTCAACCAGACTGTATTTTTTTTGTCCTCCGTTTTTTTTATTTAAACAAAACGTCGAGATGGTGATGATGATGATGATTATAGCGTAAGGCACAACTATGGCCGGTGGTGGGCCGTCACTCCTCAAATCAACAAGTACAACATCAAGAAACCCCATTTTTACCCCTTTTAAATTTTATGTATCAAGCACTTTTTTTTTTCTTCTCCCTTTTCATAGTCATTTCCTATGAATATATCTATATCTTAAATAGTAATTATACATTTTTTAATTAAATAATTAAAAAAAATGATATTATATTATACATGGCCTCTTTTTTTTTTTTTTTTATCAAAACCTAGTAGCTCCGTCAGCAAGTAATATCTTGTTTGGCGCGGCTACTAGGTCACTGTCCAGTGTTCCCCCTGGGCAGTGGGTAATTAGTAGGCCCTCTGTTTGGCAGAAACCTTACAAACATTAAGCGATAACTGTATACAAATATAATCATACAGATTATAATAATATTATAAATACTAGAGTGTATAGACCATCAATATATAGGTAACCACATTCAATTATTAAAAAAATTAATAGATAATAGAGGATAATCTATTAGTATAAAAAATGTTTTCATCGTATTGACACGCAAACAATGTTGCAAAAACATCCGTAGCGTTAGTTGTGGCAGCTGTATAAGCCTGAATATAAACGCGGATACAACAATTAATAACAGAGACCGCAAAGTGGAAGATTAAAAAAAAAAATTACGAAAAATATTAATTATTTTAAACAAACGCGTTGCGGAAACAAATTATGCTAATGATTAAAATAAAAAAAATCAATTAGGATTCAAAACATATTAATCTAAAAACCTATATTTAGAAGAAATATCGTCGGCAGCATTGTTGGTGGTGTCGGCGGTAGTAGTGTTAATTTAAGAATGTGTTTTGCTAAACATCTCATAATAGGAAAACATGAACTGTAGCGCAGCGTAACGGGACCCTATTTTACCCTACTGACAGAAAATGTCTTATCCTACAAAAAAAAAAAGGTCGCTTTGGTTATTGGGCAGGAGTAGATGAAATATTATTCGGTATTGAATATTGGAGAGTTGAACATCAGCAACGACAAATCATGTTAAAAAAAAAAGTTAATAATAGAACCAGGTTAAAGTTAATATACATTGACTGACATATAAATGGTAATTTTAAAATTAAATTAATTCATTCATTCATATAATATTATATATTTTGTAAAATGTATAAACTACTCTTAAATTTGATAAATACAATATTTTATTTATAGATCCAATTCGTAATATTGAACTTGATTAGACTGAATAACCAAACCAGTATTCTGATCATGATGTATATGATAACTCAAATGAACCACCTAAAAAAAAAAGAGGCAATAGACCTAAAGAAGAGCCGATTAGCATTAACCCTAGTTAGGTGTAAGGTCAGTACATTTAATTAAAGCCTTTATTGAATCTTTTTATTTTATTTTTTGAGTTGTTTCAATTAAGAATTTTTTAAATTTTTTAATTCGAGTATCTAACTAATAAAGGTATTTCGAAAATCTATCCTAGCACATATAGCGATTAAAATTATTAGTAAAACAATAATTAAAGAATTATAATAATATTTATTCCATAATTTAAATTTTATTAAAATATAAATGCATTTGACAATGATACTTAATTTCCATTAATACATTTGTACGATATTAATTATATTAGCAATGATAATGCAATATATTATTAATATAAATAATAAATTATATTAAAATTTGATATTTAATTGAAATTTTGTAAAATGTTACATTTTTTGATATTTTTACCTATTATTAAGTTTTTAAATCAAGTAATGCTCATACTTATTTTAAAAGTATGAAATAATAACGTCTATATATTTTAAAATAAATACTTCAATATCTAATGTACTTTTTAAGCAACGAAAAAATTTAAATAGCATTATTTTAGGTTACTATTTTAGTATAACTTAAAAATAAATTTAACGTTTTTAAACTTTTGTCAAATCATGTTTTAAAAAAATAACACTTTTTTTTATCTATAAATACATAATTCATTTTTTTTTTTTTAGTAATTTTATTCAAATTAATTAAGTGAATAGTTTAAGTGGGAACTAATTATATTTTTCCATATTCTTTAACAAAATCTGTTACTTACAGGAGAAGTGTTAAAGTTAATATGGTTTGAGTATTCAGTGTCCAATTGAAATTGTAATTTATCATTCACTATTGAAAGTTAAAACATTTTTTTTGAAAGGGCAGCCTACTTCCTTGTAAACACAATTATTGTATCTACATTAAAGCAGCAAATAATTAATAACTCACTCATAAATCTTTTTTATTATGTAATTAATTTTTAAAAAGTTATGGCAGTTTTAAGTAACAAAAGTTTAAAAAATAACACACTTTTATCGATTTTAATAATGGTATTTTTTCTCATTTTGTAAATAATGTACAATTAGATATGAATTATGATCTTTTGACGTATCTTTGAAAAAATCTGTCTAGTGAGAGCTGAAAAAAGTAGTGACATACACACACAGAAAAAAAAAAATTAAAAGTTGATGGTAAAATTAATATCTTCTCAATTTCGCAACGAAGTGAAATAATATAGAGTATATAGTATAAAAACATAATTTTATACTATAGTATAAAAAAATAAATATATCATTGTATTTGTTATAAAAATTCCCTACAATTTATTAAATAGAACATTTGTTTATATCAATCCTGCTTTTTTTTACATGTATATGTATAGGATAAACTAAAATAATTAAGTAAATAATTTTTTTTAAACTGAAGAATATCATAAAATAATACTTATGTGAAAAAATATTTTTTATATATACACTTATTTAATTGAAAAATTGCCATTAAAATATAATATAATAATAAAATATTGAAGTAAAATTAAGAGGTGTAAAATGGAGGTAAGTTTTCCACTTTATATGAAGTACTTTATTGAAATCTGAAAGTTAATTTTATTTTTTTCTAGAACTGGCAATCGATATATTTTTTTATGATAATTTCTTGTTTGATTTTTAACGAAGGTAAATTTGATTTTATATTATTAATGTCTATTCTATGTAGTAATACAAAGATAAGTAAAGGGTGTTTGGGGTATTTTTGACCAAAGTTGGATATTTGGGGATTTAGTCAATTCAGAAGCAACGAGGTTCTATCGGGGTTGTAGAGTTCGAGGATTTAGAATAATAAAGATAAGTAGATATAAAAAGAAATGATTAAAGTTTCTCTATAGAGGTATTCCAAATGACCTAACTGGTAAAGTACCTGAAATAATATACTGAGGCAACGAAGAGGCGACGGCCATCTCACGAATACCATGTAATGTGATTATGTATAAGGTATGAACTAGTCAGTAACAATTAATAAAGTTTGAAAATAAATATAAATATGTGATCTATTGCTTTATCATTCTTTACTCAGATTATTAATTCTAAATAATTGGGTTAATATAAATTTACTTACTTCTTTTATTTGGCTTGTACAAAGATCGTCAAGGTTTGCGTAAAGATTTATACTATCTTTTTTAAATAAATAAAATGTTAACGCAAAATAATTGTATTCGATATCGCTTTAAAATATACCGATGACAACACGGGGTCGCGGCTAGTTTGTTCAAAATAAATCAGATAGAAGAATTTTGAATTTCTTATTGAATTTAGATCTTCATAATGGAGAGAGAATGAGCCGCTCGCTAGCAGGCTCGCTCACTGATGTGCAAGCAGAACTAAGCCTTTTTATATTATTTTTAATTACCCCCTTCATGGGTTGTTGTCGTCAGCGCTTTTAGTGATTCTCATTTTACTGTATTAAATTGAACATAACATGATAGTTATTTTAAGATAAGATGTATAGTATACAATAATCAATTAACACATTTATACATATATAATAGCTAGTGTACAACAATGTATATGTTATAACAGATAAATTAATAATTTGTTTGTATACTAGTAATATAAAATACAGATTATACATTTTTCGTTGATAAATGTAAGATGCGCAATGCAAAGCATTAGGCATATTACAACATATAGTTTATCAAATAAATTTCTTAACTTTCATCTAATATATGAAACATTTTCAAAAGATTTTAGATGGAATTACTCACATAGGAGGGTAATAAGCTCTCCATAAGAAAATAACTGTCCATAAATTAAATTTTTTTTAAATTACTTGTTATAAACAGTAAATTATACTGAACACTCAATACTTGAAGGTAAAGAATCGTAAACCGTTTATTCGTAAGCAACAATAGGTTATTAAAAAAAACAAACAAACCAAAAAGACAAACACAGTTAATAATAATCTTCGCAAGATATCGCGGTACTTTCACTGGCGTCTGCGATGCGATGTCCGGCATGGTTCTCGGGCATCAAAAAGTTAGCAGCGTTGATGGTGACAGTAAGCGGGTGCGGATAGGTTCGTCGAGTCTGGTCGTGCGACACGTCCGGAGCCGGTGGAATACATCGTCGACGTTGTAACTTAGACAACGGGTAAAAGACTCAACGTATCATTGGCGGCGGGTCATCATCATCCGTGTGGACTTGCTGTACACCGTAGCGTATAGCAATTGGTGTTGGTCAGTTGAATACTCATAGTAGGGCGACCACTGATAAAGATGGCACGACACGTGGTTCATCGTGTATAACGAAGCGATGCTGGGCTGTGTCAATGTAGATATAAAATATTCTGATGATAACNAGGCTGTGTCAATGTAGATATAAAATATTCTGATGATAACTACATAAATATTTTTAGTATTAATCAAGGTGTTTTATGTTAATAAATCAATAATCTCTTTTAAGCTAATTCAAAATAATAACGATATACGAATAATATTGAAAAGTTATTATATGAATAATACTACTTTGTTATATGCAAAAAAGAAATACTCTTACATTATACAAAATAATTTTACAATCGTAAATTATTTGATTAGGTAACATAAATATTAGCAATATATTCAAACAGAATATTAATAATTAATGAAAATAAAAAAGGGGCTAAACATAGGCATCTTATACAGTTTATTAGATAATTTTAAATAATCTAATTAAATTTGACTCCAAAAAAAATCTAATTGATGTGCCCATTTAGGTATTGAAAATAAATATTTGGGTGAAAAAAAAATATGTCCGTTTGAAAAAGGTATCACAAGAAAAGCTGCTAAAATTGGTGACATAGAAACATTAAAACTAGCTTACGAGAGTAATTGTGAATGGGATGAATATACGACTATTGAAGCTGCTGCAAATGGACATTTCGAATGTTTAAAATATGCACATGAAAATGGCTGTGGCTGGGATGAAGAAACAACTAGAGACGCTGCTGCAAAGGGACATTTTGAATGTTTAAAATATGCACATGAAAATGGATGTCCATGGGATGTAAGCACAGCGATATATGCTGCAACAAATGGGCATTTACAATGTTTAATCTATGCACATAAAAATGGCTGCAGTTGGAATGCTGATATAACAAGATACGCTTCTTTGAATGGACATTATGAATGTTTAAAATATGCACATGAAAATGGTTGCAACTGGATTAAAGACATATCTAAATATGCTGTTATAGGAGGTAATTTAGATTGTTTAAAATATGCACATGAAAATGGATGTTCATGGGATGAAAGCATAACGATAGCAGCTGCAACATATGGGCGTTTAGAATGTTTAATCTATGCACATAAAAATGGGTGTCATTGGAATGCAGAAACAACAAGAAACGCTGCTTTAAATGAATACTATGAATGTCTAAAATACGCACATAAAAATGGATGCCACTGGAATAATGACGTAACTACATATTCTGTTATAGGAGGTAATTTAGATTGTTTAAAATTTGCTCACGAAAATGGATATCCATTAGATGATGACATAACTATAGAGGCTACTCTAAGAGGTAATTTAGAAATTTTAAAATATGCACATGAAAGTGGATGTCCATTAGATGATGGCATAACTATAGAGGCTACTGTAAGAGGTAATCTAGACATTTTAAAATATGCACATGAAAATGGATGTCCATTAGATGATAAGATAACTACTGTGGCTATTGAAAAAGGTTATTTTGAAATTTTAAAATATGTACATCAAAATGGATTTCCATGGCATAAAAGAACAACAAAAGTAGCTGCAAGTTATGGTAATTTAGAATTTTTAAAATATGCTCATGAAAACGATTGCAAATGGTATGAAGGTACAGTAATTACAGCAGCCATGAATGATAATTTAGAAATTTTAAAATATGCACATAAAAATGGATGTTCATGGGATTATGACACAACTAGAGCTTCTGCAGCAAGTGGTTGCTTGGACTGTTTAAAGTATGCTCATGAAAAGGAGTGTCCATGGCATGAAGCAACATTAAATACAGCTGCCGCGCATGGTAATTTAGATTGCTTAAAATATGCATATGAACATGGATATAATTGGATAGTTGGTACGACGAGAGGGGCTGCTGCAAATGGACGTTTAGACTGCTTGAAATATGCTATTGAAAATGGTTGTGAATGTGATGAAGGCACAACAAGGGAAGCTGCTGCAAGTGGTTGTATTGACTGTTTGATATTTGCTCATAAAAATGGATATAAATGGGATGTAGGAACAAAGAGCGCCGCTGCTGCAAATGGTCATTTAGACTGCCTAAAATATGTTCATGAAAATGGATGTGAGTGGGATGAAATTTTTTTTTTTTTTGTGGCTTTTGAGTTTAATATTTTTAATATTTTTTAGTTTTTTTTAAAATTAATAATATTTTTAATATAGTTTTAATTTTACTTAATTAATTAGCCACAAGTGATCAATTTTTATTATAAACTTATTACAAATTATTTTATTACAAAAAAATAATAATATTTACACTTTATTAAAAAAAAAAATGATTGGTCTCGTAATTCAATACATGAATAGAGACCCTTTTTATTTGTCTTCCTATCTTAATGATGTTCGGTTAGAAAATTTTTTTTTTAATCTATTATGTAAAACCCATTAAAAACTAAAAAAATTATCATACATTATCTTGTTTTCGATATATATTCTTATTCGTTCATTAAATTTTTTTGTTTATAATTATTAGTTAAATAATATCCAAGCATACTTCCCGGGTGTCCATGTTGTCTCTATGATGTTAAAAAATTCCGATCTTCTCGATTTTTAATTAATTCCAAAGCTCTAACTAACGGTATATCAAAAATATCCCTCTATAAATTAGGAGCCTTCCACCAAAAATTACTACTTCCTCTTCTATCAATTTTGAACTTTCGTTTATATCATGTTTGATTTTACTTATGTTAAAAAAAAGCACCGATATTACTTGTTTTATTAATGATAGTTAACTACCAATGATGAATTTTGAAATTACATTTTGACACCTCTTTAAATATGAGAAANTTTGAAATTACATTTTGACACCTCTTTAAATATGAGAAAATATTTTATCGATATTGGAGTATGTACATATTTACAATCTATACAACAAAATGGTACAATAAGTAAATTTGGTTTAAATTGATAATTAAAATAACATGAACTATTATG